AAAATTGTATCAAACCAGTTCCTAACAATAAACAAAATGATGTCAGAAAAAACAAATCCATTGATAGCAATCATCAAAATTTATTGACAAAAATATAAAATTCATTCTATTCTAGAGAAAGTATAGTGAACAGTGAAGCTTATCTAGAAACAAAATGCAATAGCACACGACCAAAGACTTGATTCTGCAGTGAATTCAGCCTTAAATTTTCAGTAAACTAATAGACCTTTTAATGCCAAAAGTACCGCCATCTTTTCCAAGAAACTATGGGATATCCAAGAGTCTGACTTGATGAGAAGTATGTAAATAGGTTTGACTAATCTTACATGATTCACATCTATTAATATCAAATAATGAAAAACACCTTAAAGCTGTTAAACATTTCAATATTTTGAGGTAAAAAATCATTATCTTACAGTAAAGGAATGTTTACTTAAGCCCTCGGAAATCCCATATTTTGTGATGAAAAAAGATGGCAATCAAGTTTGTTTTTGCTTCACTTCACCCTTCCTCCTTTACAAGTTTGTTCCTAATGAACGTATTTATAGGTATTTGGAATATTTACGTTTCTATATGTTTTCGATTTTTGCATTTACGCTTATGACTAAGTCGAAATTACACATGATTTTGCAGACAGTTTCCTGGAAGTTCACATTGAAAACTTCCCAAGAACTGATAAAAACCTCACATGTGTAAATTTTATCCAGAATGGCTAGGTTCACTTTTATTAACAAAGAAATGCAGTATTTATGCAGAATTAATAAATCATATATAAAAACTGGGTTTTAATTTGACTAATGCATCTCAAGTCAGTGTAAATTAAGTGWTATATCATGTTATTATGACATGACGCCAAAGACTGGATTGTGACGGCAAATACTGGGACCATGTTCATCATAGTCTGCTTTAGTGTGGCAAACAGAGTAGAACTCAGGCTGGGAATGAAASAAAGGATGTGTGAGAAAATGAATAAATGAAAAAAGAAAGAAGGTAAAATGAAGAAAAGAACGAATAATGGAATAAGATCAAAGGTTAATAAAAACAAACAAAACAATGCATAAACAACCCAATGTAAAGGAGCAACAAGAAAAATAATAAATATAAACAAAAACTGAATACAGAATGTTTACTGTAAATAAGAAAAAAACCCTCACCGTTGAGGCAAGCATGCTTCCACCAAACCAGACAGCATAACGTTGCATATGATGAGAGATTACTTGGGTTTCAATAGGCTTRGGCTGTGAAAGAAAGACATACAGTCAATATGACAACTSTTAGGAAAACAGTATGAAAAATGACAACAACAAAAAGGAAATATTTCTTTGCTACTCTAACTTGACAAATTGTGAAGAAAYCTAGTTCTATCTAGTTCTAGCTAGTATTGCAAAGGTTCAATTCCAATTCTAAGTCTGAATTTCTCCAGATTAAGTGAATTTTTACATTTCTATCTCTATTTCTCTATATCACCTCTTTATTCCTACTTCTATAGGACTAGCTCTTATCTAATTTCCTTATTTTATACGTACATGTAGATAAAATAGTAATAAAATATAAATAAATTATAGAATTTCAGAATTTACAATAGCAAGATACTGAAAAAAATCTACAATGAATCTAATCAACTTCCTTATCTAGTGTGGATARATTCTCACCTTTATTCTGCCCATGCTCAATGTCTCACTGAGTTTCAATCTGGCATCAACAGCCCTTTTAATGTCACGTTGAAGACGACGTCCAAAATCACGGAACATTGTTGATCCACCGGACAGCACAATATTCTACAACAGAACATTGTGACTTCAGGTTCTGGTTGTTCAAGACCAGGTTAGCTCAATTCCAGKKTWWACTTCAKAGTTTTTCAAAACTTTCAGATTYGATGCTTTCAATGTACTTTTTATTACTTTAGTTAGAGTGTAAGTTAGTACTTTTATCTTTATCAGTTTTGTTGTTATGAGTTCAAATCCTTTGATGTTGTACGAGGGTTATCAACTTAAATATGAATGACATTCGTCACTTCACAAAATGTGTAAAACTTAACTTGTACTCATCAATATTTTAGGAAAACAACTGTAAAGAATTGCCAATCATCTATTGGCAAAATGGCACAAAACTCCAACAACTTTTGGTGTATTTTTCTATTCTTGTGAGCGATATTATTTCAAGGAAAGATTATTGTGACAATTTCTTATGATGCTACACATTTTACCTTGTAGAGTGGTCGTCTAACATCAATAGGAGTGTTCTGTATCACRTTATCAACTACTTCAGACAGAGGTGTTGTGAAGTCAGGGTTAGAAAACTGCAACAGAGGAAAGAAAGCTTTCTAAGCAAAACTGAGAGAATACATCAGAAATAACAAAATCAAAGGAATCTTACCTCTGGATGAAAGAAAATCTCAGGTCCTAAGAAACGTTCATAACCAACATCAACACTGTATGGCTGTGTAAAATTGGACAACAATCAGAGCAAAGTCTTTTGTTTAGCTACAGATTTGTACATAATTACCTTTTTTGTGACAGAGTTGACACTTTCAAACTTTTTAATCCACTTCGCTGGCTCCTGYTCATACTTTGCAAACTCTTTGGCAATGTCAGGGCAAATATATCCCCATCGTTCCTACAGAAGTTATATTTAGTTTTTAATTAACTTCTTTTATGTGTATTACCATCCTGGAATTCACCTATRCTCAAAGAAACAACMAAGTTCAAMAGTTCTGCTTTACCTTGATTGCTTTTGCAGTTTCCATGGATTGTTCTGGTGGAATACCAATCTCTCTTTCTCTTAAAAGYTGTTGSACRAAAAATGTAATGTCYCTTCCAGCAATAGGAATATGCTTGATGCAGCTACCAATGACATATCCTTCGGCCTACAAGATATCACAATATTAATTACATTGTTCAATGAAACTGAGTGTTATATAAGCAGAGTTAACATACCACAGGAATGACATGAGTGACGCCATCACCCGAATCAATGACGCAACCAGTTAATGTTCTTTCTCCTACTTGACGTGATGTCCATGAAGCAGCTAAGGCCAAGACTGCCTGAATAAGTGAAACAGAAATATTTCAATGTATCTATAAAAATCATTTATTAATTTTTATATCGTTGTACTAGAAATAATGGACCTGTAAAACAACATAAACAAACCAACCTGCACWGCAATGTATAGTCCTGGGATGTTAAATGATTCAAACATAATTTCTGCAAGCAAGCAAGAAAGATAAGTATGGTAATAATCTATGTCAGAAAAGATAGTGAATGAGAACCATTTGACAAAATGACACACCAAATCTAAACAACTTCTAGGAAGTATTCAAATTAGGATAAACTTTACTAACTTTACTAAGTACCCACAGAGCACAAGTTACTAAATCAGAGAACAATATTGTTTCCTCTGCCTATTTAAATCACAGTACCAACTAAAAAATCCTTATCAATCATTATTAATGTATCATTTATTGAATAACCCATACCTGCAGTATATTCTCTGTTCTCTGGTGTATTTAGTGGAGGTTCAGTCTAAATAGAGAGAAATTGATCCAACATTAGCCAACAGAATACAATATTATGCATTAAAATAAAAATTGGCTCACCAGAAGGAAGTAATGGTCCTCAGGTTCTGCTCTGAGATACTTGAATATACATTGTTCCCAAAATCGCTCCTATGAAATAGAAATAATTATATATCCAAGGTTTATGATAATAGTGCCGATATAATGATAATATATTTGCATTGCTGCTTACCATCAAATCCCAATCTTCTACAATAGCATGTCTTATGGGCCACTAAGAAAAAAAATATGTCAAAAGATTGTTGGACTAAAATATGCTGGAATGTAATGATTTTATAGTTCAAAAAACTTTGTTCATGCTTCAAACTCTTTTTGGTATAATAATTTTTGAAAGAAAGAAAAATTGTATTACCTTGGTAGAATAATTTGGTCGATCTACAGCTTCATCTCCAATAAAAAAATCTATAAAATGAGCAATAAACATAAATACAAATAGCTATATCTCATAAATCAAACAAAAAAAACCTCCTTACCTAAATCTTCAACACCCTTCACTGCCCTCCGCTGGCTTTTATCACCAATTTTAGCAGATTCTTTTATGGCAATAGCTATTTTGTAAAATGGATATTTTGAGAAGAGTCAGTACATAGTTGCTAACCATAAAATGAGCTCAAATTGAGATTGTTTATCAATATTTTTTATAAGACAGCATTCTCTTGTTGTATTGTACCTGTTGGAATAATGTACTGAGGCTCTGTGTTGCCTGCAAATCCCATTTTTGTATACCTGAACGAAAATTAAGACATATTCAGTGTTTATAAAATGGTGGAACATCTATTTATTCAGTTAAAATTTTTCATATTTGTGCTCTTAAAATCTTTAATGATCACTTAGCGTCAGAGATAATAATGACTGTAATCAAATAAATCAATAGTTTCAATAAAATGATCCTAAGTATGTTATTAGGTATTCATCGATATACTTCCTGCTGTTGGTAAGAAACCCTCCTCCTTCCTACATTCTCCTTGTCGCACCCTTCATACTTTAATGGAATTAACTTGTGTACGGTATAATGAGGGCTTCTTATAGCACACTAATGCTAAGTTGATAAATCTCAGGTTGAAAATAAACTAATGTTCTCTATTAAGACTGCTAAAAAGCTCCAAAATTGCAGCCGATGTGAAATTGGTTCATCATRCYGTGCATCTRGCATGACAGCTCTCTTCGGAGTTTAGMAACTTACCCAGTTCCATTGTCAATGACACACGCAGGTTGCCTTCCATTCATAGTGATATTTTATTGACTTCTCGATTCCACTGAAAATGCTGGAATAAAGAAGAAGAAATGACCACCTAGAACGGAAGCCAAGCACAAACCAAGATGGCGGAAATTTCACTTCTTTATMTGCAGTGCATTATGGGAGACGGTAGGTGTGGCGGACGAAATCTTATTTGGGAGGGGAGGGTAGGGTCAAATTATAAGGGAGTAATATGCCGAACAAAACAATTCTAAATGACCTGATTTTAAAATAATATCTGATGAAATTATGCAATGTAATGAGCTAGTAAAGCTAAACTTACAAATTGAAAAATGATAAAAAATGAAAAAAATAAATAAAAAATAGAAGAGTGAAAAAGAAAAATATTAAAAAAGTAGAATGAAAAGGGAAAAGATTCAGAGTCTGTAAATATATTGATAACATATATTTCATTGGTTACAATAATAAAATATTTACATTTKTAAATTGATTTCACTCATAGAATATATTAGAAATCTTAAAATTTGGTCATTTGTAAATACTTCTAAAGTTTATTCGAAATGTAACTTTTCTCAAATTCTTGTTATTTTCATGAATCTTCCACTGGAGTTTTACTAGTTTTGATAATGACTTTGGGCTCTGATATGCAGATATCGGCCACCGGTAATTGATTTTCTTCAACATTTTGATCAACATCCTCCACAGCTTGATTTTSTAAAGGCACATCTTCTGAAGTAACTGGAATGACATCTTGAGATTCTATGTTACAATCTTCTTGAACTAATGCCTCCRCATTAGTTTCTGTATTATTTTCTTCTTTGACAGAATTTCCTTCTATTTTATTTTCTGCCACCTCACTAACACCAGATGTGGCCATTATTTTTGAGCCATTTTCAGAATCTACATTATCATTTCTATCAGCCACATGGGAATTAGGTCGTGAGTTGGGAGGAGGGAATGGGCTGATATTATTGTCCTTTTCATCATCATCATCATCATCATCATCATTGATGCCATCAACCTCACTTCTAGTAACTTCTTCACTGGCAGTGTGAACAAATACCGATGAATCGTTTGGATCAATATCAAAGTATAATATGTTCTTTGATTTATTCATATTCTGAGATTTCTTTTCCTTTGCAATTTCAGGCAGAGGAGAATCACTTGAATTTTGTTTCTTTTGTAGTTTGAGAGAGGTGGCAATTTTTGGAACATTCAAAGTCCTGTACTCGGATTCCTCTGACAGAGTCAGTAATTTCAAGCGATTCACAAGTCGCGTAGTAGATTTTCTTTTAACATTTGGTATAGACGGAAGATGTGGCTGTAATAAGTACGTAGACGGCTCATTTGGAAAGGTTGAGCGAACTTCATTGGCAATTTTTGCAATTTGTTGATCATTTAGTTTTGGTACCATTCGATTGTATATGTGTCTAATATCTTCTAAAGTAAAAGAAACTACTTCTTCTTCGCCTTCCAATTCAACATTTTCATCAGGTAGCAGATGTTTTCCTTTCAACGGCCTGATTGCTTTATCCATATCTTTTGCCTGCTGGCGTTGCAGACCTCGTCTTGCAAATGGCCTTTTTGGAAAGCCTACATGAGAGGCTGCTTTGTCAGGTAGTGAAAAATTCTTAATCACAGGCTTTCTTCGCGGGTATTGCAGCTGCTTCAGCCTYTCCATTGCGTTAACTAGATTGTGCTGCTCCCTGTTTATGAGTTCTTTTTGTAATTTTCGTATTTTTAGAAAGTAATCTGTCTGCTTTTCGTATCCACTCTTGGTATCTTGAAACCAAGATGGTCTTCTGTTCTTCGAACGAGGTTTTGCAGAAGACATCTCTGAGTAGCATGGATATTCTTGACTTATCTATCGAGAGCAATTTCTTTGCTATATGTTTATGTCATCTTTGTGTTTTAGAGTGTTAAGATCTTGAGAATAAAGAGTTGAGTTCGACAGTAAACAAATGAACAATGTCGCTGCGCTTCTAGCTTGATGTCTTGAAGTTGTACTATTGTCATGGATACCAAAGGAATCCCGCAATTGCATATATATTTTAATATTACACTGAAATAAAGCACTTTGTTATTCTTTTAAGAAAAAAATAATTTGTAGCAAGTGCAATAGTAATTTCTTATGATTGCGAAAAGTCAATATGAATAATAGATATTTATTTGTTTATATTTTTGTTTCAAAGTCTGATTTGGAGTTCCTGTGTTACAAATCTATATTTGGTCAAAGTAACCAAGGTGACGTCTGGTAACAAATGAAAATGGCTGCCATCTTGGTCTTGGAAAAATGTTCTGTACAAATCGGTCAAAATACAGTATTTTAATGTAATTTGTAAACGGGAATGAGCTTCAAAAGCTGTAGATAATGTAACAAGGGATTCAGATATTGCAATCCTTGAAGGTAAAATTCCGTATTTCTTGTATAAAAAATGAAATTATCACAGGAAATCTTCAAGCTGAGTTTAGATGAAGTATGGTGTAATGCTTTTCTATTTATTACTCTATATCTTGTTTTTTTTATTTCACTATAAAAGTACTAAAATCAAATCAACTTATATTAATGTTTATTTGCTTGTTTTTGATGGTTTTGTGTTGTTTTTAATCCAGTGTAGAAAAAATGACAACAATATCACCACAAACCAAATTCATTCCAAAGAAACTTGGAATTGAAGTAAATGACAGTGTAACATGGCAGGGATGGGAACCAGGCGGCGAATATACAAAGCATATTATACTTAAAAATGTACAAATCAAAACACAGAAGTTGAAATACAGGTACATAACTTAAAACGTATTTTAATTTGAAACCACAGTATAGTCCCTAGTCTGATATCTTATTACATGCAATCCTGTCTGTCTAGTTAGCTGTCTTGTGGATAAAAGTTCAAACATATGGTTCCATGATAATTATATGGCAATATGATATGGAGGATATGTTATGGTATTTATTATACCATCATTTAAGGCTCTGTTGTTTTTCATATTGCACAGGGGTCCATCAACAAGGTTTTTTACAACTCTGTACCCTAAACCTATTGTGCTAAGTTCTGGGACAAGTTTTAGTCTTCCAGTTACTTTCAGACCTCTTGAAAAAGTAAGTATTATAAGCATTATTGCATGATTTGAAAACTGAGTGATATTGAATAATGTAAAGTTTATATAAATATTAACTATTTCTCTTTTTTTTCAGGATCAGTATGAAGATATAATTGAATTTGAAACTAATGTAAGTCATATCTGCAAAAAAAAAAAAATAAATAAAGAAATAAAGAAATAAAGAAATAAAGAAAGAAAATAAATGGTATCTGCAAAAAAATTGGTCATTTATAATGTATTGATTGTTTCCATTTTTAGAATGGGGTGTTTTCCATTCCTATGAGAGCTGTCCTTCCAAAACCTAATGTCAATATTCCAGAATCTATCAACTTTGGGATGTGTGCTGTGAAAGATTCTATTGAATTGACATTTGAAATTAAAAATACCAGGTTAGATTATACATCAAGTAAATCTACAAATATTGACTTGATTTTGATTAAGACTGTCCTGAGTAAGTTAACACATATTCCACTTGAAATTTTTTTGCAGTGAGCTTATCACGTCATTCCAGTGGGAACTCTCAGAACCTTTTACCTTTGTTCCATCAAGTGGGACACTTTCCCCAAAGACTACTTGTTTGATTAAAGCAACATTTACTCCAAAGGTCAGTAAATATGTTCATTCAAATTTGTAAAATTCTCTTAAAAAATCATTCTAAATTACATGTAATCAGTACCAGCTGTCATTATACTGTACGTTGTTTATTTGATTTGTTCATGTATAGTGCAGTATTTAATGTACTCTTGATTTGTTCCTTTTCAGGCAGCATTTGTTTATGAAGCTACAGCTATCTGTAAATATGCACACGACATTGAAAATAAAGACGTAAAGTCATTGAAAGTTGAAGGCATTGGTATGTTGACTTCAACTTGTTTAAAAATTGATGAATTATGTTAACTTAGAGTATTATTTCATGTTCTAATTTGAAGGTAAATTTCCTCATATTGTTGCAAGTGCATTGGGACAAAACAGGTCTACTGTGTCTGTACATGGTCATGAAGTCTTGGTGGATTTTGGGGAAGTTCCTGTACAAACATTAGCTGAAAAAATAATTGAATTACACAACTTTTCACCAGTAAGTTTTCCCTATATTTAATACATGTATCTATAACACATGTAACTGATGTTGCAATGATGATATTGAAGTATTGCTCATATTATCAGGACATAATTATGCATTGCAAGTAACTGCTACTACAAAAAAATAACTTATTTGTCAGTTAGTTAGAGAACAGTGGTGAAGTTTAATTAAATTATGACATGATATAATGAACTGATTTAAAACTATTCAACAGGTGAATGCACCATTCCAGATCCTTCAACCTTCACTGGCATCCAACATAGACACAGTGTTCTCTTGTTCTCAGTTTCATGGAGTCATTGGTGCTAACAGTACAGCAAGGATAAAGGTATAAAACATTGCTGATTAAAGCAACAGTACCAAAAACCCTACCCTGATAAACAGCATACATATGTAGGGTATATCAAACAAGGCTTCATAGTATCAATTTATTCTGAAGATACTAAAAATAAATGGTAATCCATAATTATGCAATTTATAGATTTGATTTGTATATCTTGTAATTTTAGGTTTCCTTCAGCCCACACTCACCTGGTATAGTGTCAACTGACACTTTTGAGGTTGTAGCGCTTGGTGCCACTAACTGTTCGGTTATAAAATGTGTTGGCAGAGGAAAAGGTAAGCTGTACTGTATTTACATGTAATTTTATCTTTTGTTTGACATGTTTGTTGTTTGCTTAATCTAAATACTATCAGTTCTACTTCACTTTATGTGATTTTCTGTGTGGTGAACAGAGTCACACTACTTGTACATGGACCTTGATTTGTCATCAAAGCAAGCTTTTATAAGAAAAAAAAAATCCTTCTGAGCAAGGGAGGAAACTGCAAAAAACCCTTCTGAGCAAGGGAGGAAACTGCAAAGCCAAATGACAAGTTTATTGGCTATTTATGATTACAGTCATGGATTCAAATGATGTTTTTTATAGGTCCATCTGTCTCCCTTGATAATTCACATCTTGATTTTGCTGTTGTGGAATCTGGTAAATGGATGTCAAGAACATTTAAGATTGTTAATTCATCAAGTGTTGCTGCTGCTTTTCAGGTACCTTAAAAAATATAATTATTAATTATTGATATTGATTTGGAAATATTGCAGTAGTAATACTATGTAAAACTTGATGTTTTTATATTCTAGTTCTTGATTGACTGTAATCAGAGTGTTTTCAAGCTGAATATGACCTGTGGAATGCTTGCTGGTGGAGAAGCAAAAACTATAAATGTTCACTTCACTCCAAGCCATCCAATAAACTATAACAGGAGATTAGTATGCCTTGTACAAAATCAAGTAAGAATAATTCAAATAGTTCATATTTCTTTACGTCACATTTGTGCACTCTCATAAGGTTGGCATGTGGTCATCTTTTCTTGTTTTACCCAATCTGCAGTATGACTTCACTTTAGAATGTCAGGGGTAAAAGTACAAATTAATCACCCTACCATTAGGGTACAAGAACAGCTCCAACTGCAGTCACCAACTACACCAATATTCTACTTTAGGAAAGTTTAATGGTGGTCTTGGTGACTGTAGTTGGTGACTATAGTTGGAACACCTAAAATGTATAATATATGGTATCCAAATGATGATAAATTGGCAATTTCACTTCATTTTTATAATAATTGTTTTTTTTTTCACAGGATCCACTCTTCATTGATTTGTTTGGAACCTGTCACACTGAACAAATCAAGCCAGGTACGTAACAATATTGCAAAGGGAATTTAAATTGCTGGTCCTATAATTTAATACTAAAGGTTTAATGGGCTTATTTTTATCCTAGCTCCTCTCCAATGGAAACATCTAGTACGATACCACAAGCATGTCAGCAGAGGATTGTCTAAGATACCTCCTGAGGTATTTAAAATGTGATTTAAGTACCAATAAATTATGTTATTTTGCCTTCTTCTTGGTCAAATATTTGAAGGTTTTTTGATTTGTAATTCCCCTGTGTAAATTAATGCTTGATATTTCATAGCAACTCAATAACATGTTACAAGAAGGTAAACTGCAATTGGACGAAGAAGGAGGACTGTTGCCAGTAGAGGTCAGTACTTAGTTATATATTATTACATTACATGTAAAAAATAACATTTGTGTTGTACATTTAACACTAGGGTGTCTCATCAAGTATCAAAAACAACAACACCCCCCTGACAAATCTAACGCCAATGGAAGAGCTATTTGATGATGGCAGCTTTGGAGAGACTGTAAGTACTGAATATAAATAGTTTTTATCACAATCATTGCAGTATTGGTTAAATTTTGCTTGTTTTACAGTCTCTCGTGGTACCTCATGTTAGCCTAGATATCCAACATCTACCATTTGGTAGAGTACCTGATGCAAGGGCAGTTGAACAAAAGGTTGGTAAAGGGAATAGGTATTAAGAAATAATGCAGTCATGAATGAAAAGCTAATTACTGATGATTCAATTCTTTCAGACTGTGAATATCACCAATCACACAAGAGGGAAAATCACTTGTCAGTGGATGAAAGGTTGGCAGTAGAAAAATAAATATCAAATCTATTAGAATATTAGAATACTATAATAATAGGTTAATCTAATGTAATCATACAATGCAGAATAGATTTCTCACGTTATACCTACTATACATTTTTACTGAATTAAAATAGTCTTTACATCTTCTGTATTTTCATTATTGGCAATTATTTGTTTTAATTAACTTTAAAATTTTTGTTTAGATGGAAAAGGGATTTTTTCTGTTTTTCCTGAGAGCTGTGATGTTCTGCCATTAAGGACGGCTTCATTTCAAGTTACATTTAGACCAGTAAGTGCAAATACCTGATTTTTAATGTTTCCTGGAAAATGTATCTTGGAACCTTGGTCAAGCAGAGCTGAAGATTATAAAATAGAAGTAGACTGATATGAAAGAATTTTTGTTTTCTTGTCTAGAATGCATCAAACCAGTTTTTCAGTGCAGAGCTGGAATGCTTTGTGTTTTATAAGGTAAGATTACTTAATGATTGTTATTTATATTATTTAGCTGTTTGATAGTTGAGTAACATTAATTTGATTTCTTTAGAGCACTAGAGACTTCAGACTTGTAGAAGATAGCTCATTCTGCCCACCTTGGTGTCTTACACTTAGCACATCAGGTAAATAATAAAACTAACTATTTTCCTGGAAGGGCACTCGAAATGACCTATTATTACCGGACACCTCTATATTACATGGACACCTCTATATTACATGGACACCTCTATATTACAGGGAAACCTCTATATTACACTCAATGCACATATTAACAAGTCAATTTGATACACATTTGATCCACTTGATACACATTTGAGAATGCAGCTGTTTTTTTCAATTTTATCAGGACAAACATTTACCATGGGAGCTGAAACATTCATACCAAGATATGACCTGGATACAAGAAATTTGGTAATTATTAAGCATCAGTTAATTAATAAAATAATTTAAATTGATTGCCTGATGTGGAGAAGTGTTTGTTTTAGGTATTTCCAGCTATCACACCAGATCAGGTTTCCTATCGCACTTTACTACTAGCTAACACTGGCACAAATCCCATTGAGTTTGCATTTGATGAAGATTCAGATCGGTAAGTATGATAAATACAAAAAGTTACAAATTTACATTTTATATTCTGTTTTCTTGGTGGATTGGCGTGGATAATAAAAACGGGAAAAAAGAGCTTGCAGTTCTAGTTTGTAATTTGATATCAAGTGGTTTTAACTTATTTTGGTCTTTGTTTAAAGGATTTTCAGTTGTCGTCCAAAGCGAGGTCTTCTGACAGATAAATACCAGGTACTGTAGTACATATGTTTGATAAAATATGCAATGCTCAATATTTCAGATCTTTTTTTTCTGCTCAAATGAAGGCGTTTTGTTCTTGTAAAAGCAACCATTTTTAATGCAGACTTTGCGTTATTATTTTTTATTAATCTTATTTTTTATTAATGATAATCCATACTGTATCGAAATAGTTAAGAAAATGTTGCATCTTGATCAATTCATGGTGTGCACTTCTAGGTGTTACTGATACTTATTCATCATTATCTTTTAGCTCGTAGTATTTCGAATGACACCTCCTGAACCAAGAGTGTTTAAGCAGACTCTAAAATGTAGATTCAATGATGCAGATAAGTTTACTCAGGTATAACATGACATTTACTAGAAACACTACCATTTCATGGTAACATATTGATGGACTGAATCAATAAAATTGTTTCTCTTTAGGAAATAAACTTGATTGGTTCAGCCGAGGTTCCTAATATCCAACTTGAGGGAGAGGTAGGTTACACAAGGTTGACTACAAAGAAACCATTGAATTATGCTGAGTTAATAGTTAAGGTGTTTATAAGCATGTAATATATAATAAGCTTATAATAATGTAATGTCAGAAAGTTAACTTCGACATGTCCATATCTAGGGCACTCTGTATTTCAAGCCAACATGTATTGGGACATTATCAGCAAGACCATTGTCAGTGAAAAACACATCACGAATACCCTTGAGGTAAGAAGTTTATATTAATGGGGAGAGTTTTAGAAGTATTCACTGGTAAAAATGCTAAAACAAGCAAGACAAAGCCATATGGTTATCTGGAGACACTGAACATGATGAGTGGTAAATTTCAGTTATTGGCATAAGAAGAAATAATTGCTATATATTAGACATATATGCAGACAGTGATTCACACAGGCTTAGGCAGACTGTACAAATACACAGAAAAACTTACCAACAAATTCAAAGACACACAGTCATAAAACAAACAAACTTAATTATTTCATAATCCCTTTGTGACAGGTTTTCTTGGCGTGTACCAGGAAGTGATGTCAAGATACTTGCGATTCAACCAGACAGTGGTGTCATAAATCCCAACGAGTCCCAGGTATCTCTCAATTACTGACTGCTGCCAAACAACACTGCATAATGAAAGGTTTTCTGACTGAGTATAGATACAGTAATGGACAATCTGTAATTTAAAGCGGCAAACTGCTCTAAGGCAAATTATTATTTAGTGTATTTGGTCAAATCATTTGTTTTTACTTTAGGCTCACATAATTAGCTTTGCACCAGCTGAAGAAAGAAAGTATCTGGTCAAACCCAAACTGTATGTCAACAGTATCAATAATGATAACAGGTACGTATGCAAGTCTACAAACAACCAAATCTGAAATATTGGTCTCTATTTGCTGAATGATGATGAACAAACTCACACAGGCCCATTAAAAAACATGCATAGACTCTTCAGATATCAATAATGTACTTAAATAATGTTCTTTCTTTGTTTATTTTAGCAATGGAAGTGAATCCAAGTATCTTGTACGAGTGATTGGAGAGGGTTCAGTTGGTGAAATTGTTGTAAGTACTAAATAATATGAAATAAGAAACAAGAATTTAATCTAATTATTTCAACTTTAAACGAATATTTTGTTTCAATGTTTCTTCTTTTAGTGTGTAGAACCGAGTATAGACTTCGAAGACATTGTTGTGGGTGGGTCTTCATCTAAAGATCTCACAATTCACAATAATAGTGACTGTAGTTTACACTATAACATCATGGTTGATCAAGAGATTTCAGGTCCTTATGACGATGAGGAGATTACAAGAGATGTTTTAGGTTAGTTGTCTTTTATTTCTATCTTTTCTCATTTCATTTTTCATTCTATCCCTATTTTTTTCATTTCATTCAATTTGATTTCATTCAATAACAATCATGGCTCATTGTTGTCATATAGCAATTGAACTGAGTGAAAACAGTGACATCATACCAGCACGTACATCCAAAAAGATAACTGCCACAGTTTTTCCAGCCCGACGAGTTAACTACAGGTTTTTTCTCAGCTATACCTTACAGTCTACTCATGGTATGTCATTATTATGTTTGATACTCATAAACAAGTCAAGTGACTTTAAATCCAATTATTATATTCAAGATGACAAGCATGTAATCACACGTAACAAAACACCATTGGCTGAGTTGTTTTGTCAGGGTGTATACCCCACCCTGTCACTGTCTGATGCTAGAGGACTTGGAAGTAACAAGGGCTTAAGCAAGGTCAAGTTGTGGAATCTGTTTTCATTGGATAGGTCAGTATAACATATCCAAAAAAGGTTTTTCTCAATCAACTTTAACAGCTTGATACTATTTAATGAATTTGAACATTGATTTTGTTATTCCCACATACTATCAACGTTGAATTTACTGAATGAAGATGTTTTATTTTTAGTTTGAATGAGTGTCTGGATTCTGATCCTTCACCACCTGAACTGATGTACGCAGCTGCTACAAGACACAGGTACAGCTCTCCTCTCCTCCGTTTTTCCCCTTCTCATTCCTTTTTACTGTTGTATTGCATTTATTGATGTGCAGCAATAATGTTTCCCGTATAAAACTTTCCTCTACACTTCTCTCTGTCCCTCTTTTTTCACATCTTATTCCATACATTATTGCTATAAACTAAGTCATTTCATATTGCAGCACTAAGCGGAGAGTACCAGTGTATACCCGTGCTGTTATGGACTTCAATTTTGGTGCTGCTCCAACAGGATCCGATCCGTCGCTTGTCTACCTGAACTTGCAAAACACTGGATCCGTCCCTGCTGAATGGTTTGTATTCTTTATTTAGGGGTTGTTCATGTATCTTTAGGTTTTTATCTAGAAATAGTTGCTGTTCAACCTAAAAAAAACTGTTTGTGTTAGCGTTAATATATTACCGTTACTGTTGTTACTGTTTTTGGTGCTGACGCTTATTCCTTTAATTTGACAGGGCGTTTCTTTACCCGAGTGATTTACAATTAGAGTTAGAGTACTGGGCTGAGACAGGTGAATATGAGCCAGATGAGCTCCACGAGGTAAATATCGTTCTTAGTGATTTGATAGCAAACACAGGTTTTATTGTCGTTCACCCAGCTGTTTATTTACCATGACTTCTTTATTGTACATTTATGACTTTATTTAGTTCACAATGTCTTGTTGAGATTAGTTATCAATTATTTCATACTAAGTGTATTAATGTACAACCATTAGATGCAAGTCATGGACAACAAACTATTTACAGTTGAACCAAAGAAAGGAAAGCTTCAGCCAGGAGAATCACAGACTCTTAAATTCACGTACAAGTACGTACAAAAAGCACAGGTTATGATAGATGTGTGCGTGTTTGTTATAACGTAACGTTTTTTTTCCTTTAGGCATTTATTCAAAGGCATAAACAAACTTCCCGTCATCTTCAAGATCATGAAGGGCAGAGAGATACTGGTAAATAATAGTTTTTTTTGAAAAATATTTGCCATGAAATAAAGTATTCTGAAGTGGGCGTGGCACAAGAAAATCATTTCCTTTAAGTTGTCGTCGTCGTTGTATTTGTTGCTGTAGATGATTATTCACCCTGGTATTTCCTACTTCAGAGTTTTGCAATTCAGATTGGTAGAAAAACGATTACAACATTGTGAGGGAAACTTTATTAAAAGGAGTATTTGCCTTTTCTTGCAGCTCAACTTTATAGGAGTGACAGTAGATGACGAGTCTCGTTACGTTCATTTTGATACTACAAAACACATGTTTGAGCCGATTGCTGTTGGAACTAATTCCCCTCCTGTGCAAATCTACGAGCTTTATAATGGAGGCGCACTGTCAGTCAATTATGAACTGGATCTACAACCACTTGGTCAACTAGAAGGGGTACGTATCATCAGACTTTAAAGCTGTGCTGTGATTGGTAGATAAGCAGTGTTATATTCTCCTGCTCGCGCACTTAAAGAGTTTTGTATTTTTCACGGGACAGAGGCTCCAGTTGTCTATCATCATGAGTTATTTTATATATTTGTTTTTGCTCTTTTTTTATTAGGAAAATTACGGGTGCCGTATACTTGACTGCCTCAACCCGTCTGGTGAGATTCCCCCTGGTTGTACTGCACTAATTCATTGGGTGTTTGCACCCTTGGAAGCTAAGACTTATGTGGTAAGTTATTGAATTAAAGAATTATTTTGACATCGATCTCACTATCAGTTTCTAAGTTTTCAATGACTTTTTCCTGTAAGTGCTAACATACAAGGTGCCACTTTAAGTGTAGACATATTGCATGTGTAGTCCGTTTACAAATGTAGTGTACTTTTGTGAATATATACCTTGAATAATAAACTATTATTTTTTTGTTTTCAAAGGTTGATATTCCTATTCGTATCATTGGAGGAGACACCGTTCTCGTCACCTTCACCGGCGTTGGTTTTGATCAACGCATCATGGGTGATACTATGCGTCCACAAGAGGGCGTGTCTACAGGGGTACCGTCCAAACAAATCGTCCCTATTCAACGTCAGGTATATATCACTTATTGCTGGGGCCCGGGTTCTAGGGGAGGGAGGATGGAAGAAGGGGGAAGGGAGTGGAAAGGAGGGGGAGACGGAAGCGGACGCAGGTTTTTGAGAGGAGGAACAGTAAACTAAACCTTGTTCTTCATGTTCAGCTTGCGTCGTTTTCAACTGAGAGGATATCTTTGGGTAATTTGCCGTTGTACAGCGTCTCCAGACGGAATTTCTTCATTTCTAACTCTTCTGTTGACCACGTGGTCTCATTTAGATGGATAGTCGAGGGAACACCAGCTGAACAGGTAAATCACGCAACTTTTTTATTTTCAAATGTATTATCATTTGTTAATTGCAGTAAAAGCAATAAATCCGTGAAACAAAATCTGAATAGCTTAAGTGTCGAAAGTCCCGTATTAGTCGAAGTATTTCACAGGTTTATGGGAACATCTCTAATGCTTTAACTGAAAATGATTAGTTTTCAAAAAAAAAATTTGCGCAACTTCTTAGAAACATTACCAACACCATATAATTCATAATACATGCAATAGATTGTTTATAGATATTATTCATTAAATGGTTTATCTCATATCAGGTTATGATGATAGAGCCAGATCATGGATACCTGCACCCTGGACAGTCGACTTTACTCAAGGTATCATTACCTACACTGATGATAAATTGTCAAGATTACATTAATGAGCATTTTAACTGCAATCTCTTCTTTGTTTAGGTATCATTCTTCTCGACGGGACCGCCATCGATGTACGATTTGGATGTTCTTTGTGAGGTAATCATATCACTCGCTTATTTCCCAATTTTTTCAGTCATATTACTTCAATTATGAAGTTCTTATCTTCCATGTAACGATTTCTACCTTTTTGATGAAGTCGCACTCGTGAAAATCTAAACTCTAAACTTCTGGTTATCTTGATCTTTAGGTAGTAGATGAGACAGAAATGGCTGCATTTAATAAAAAGTTAATCGAATGGACAAACAAGCAAGAAGAAAGACAGTATACCTTTACCATTACAGAAGACGATATAAAAACTGATAAAACAACCAAAAGACCACGATCTGGACAACGCCTGAAGTCTTTAGAACAAAACAACAGCCAATCCACATCTAAGTCAGACAGCGATCTACGTAAATACAACGCTCTTCCACCGATAAGTTCTGCAGAGAAGCGAGACAAAAATAAAAAGACCAGGAAGTCCACTGCTGAAGAACGACCAATAACTCCTCAGCCTACTCCCCCCGAGTCATTCTGGCTTCATTTAGGGGTCACGGCAAGAACTCACTCGATTTCTGAATTCAATGAACACTTTTCTTCAGACATTGGGAATTTTATCATTGACCAGTAAGTGTCTTGGTATATTATATTGGTACAAGTGTATGTTGATGACTATTTCAGGTATTTTGTGCCAGAATAAAAAGGTCGCCATGATATATCGACGTCATAAATTGACATGTGTTTTCTCTCTCTAGACGGTTTATTTTAAATCAAGAAAATTCAAAGGCCAAACAAGACTTGTCAGCGTTGGTAACGTGTACCCAATCACAGATGGGCGTGGTCACTGACCTTATTTCTGTCATTTTAAGGTTAGTATCTCCAAATCCCTTTACTGTCAGCAGCATACAAAGTATGTGGATTGTCACGGAGTTTGATGCAGAGCTTTTAGCTGGCATGACTTTGAGGCAACAATTCCTCTTTTTTTTCTCGGGTACATGATTTGCTAAATGAGAAAAAATGTAAATATGACTTGTCATCACTCTCGATGATTTTTGAAGTGATACCAAAAAACGTCACGTTCTATGTTTTTAACTTGCAGAGGCCTTCTATTCGATGAAAATTTCCACCACAGTTTAAAGGAGCTGGCCGAAGAACCCATCCCTTACTTTCGTCAATTATGTGAAACACCCTTCATGTATGACGATTCTCGACCTTCTTCAAGCAGCAGTGAGGGACAGGAGTTTGAACAGACAACACCTTCAAAAATAGTAAGCAGAGCCGTTTCGGTGTTACTACAGTATTAAATAGTCAGTGCCAAAAAAAGATAATTGATCCACTTTGAAAGGCTAAAAAAACGAGAAAAAGACGGTTGGTATGTCAATCCCTCGTTTGAAAATGCCAATCCCTCGTTTGAAAATTCTCTCTCTATGTCCACCCATCTGTTTATTCATTTGTTCATTTCTGTTTATTCATTTGTCTCGTAATTTCATCATCAATTGACAATTTGTTCGTTGCTTTTTCATGTTCTTTCGATACAGCGCGATCAAGAGTCGACTGTGGATAGTCACGTTAGTCAAGTTGCTGAAGAGTCGAGTAACGAAGAAGCTATCCGAAAGACTCACGAAATCACGGAGCGACCTCAGTCATCCTTGTCAGTCGTAGATCATTTGAAAGATGAAAACATCGACCCAGAATGGAGGGCAAGTCAAAGACAAAAGTGTAAAAAGTAAGCGCAAAGTTTGGGTTGTTTTAGACCTAATAAGTATAAAGTAAAAAAACGTTCACTACAAGGTGATACTGTTACATACAAATCACGTTTTAATAACTCTTCTTTCTTCGCAGCATGCCAGAATTCCAGTCGTTAATCGAGGCTGTTGTAGAAAACACGTTGCACAATATCTTAAATGAAGCAAGTCGCGGTGAAGTGAATCTGTCTGCGCGTCCAAGAGTGATAGCTTTACCTCCTAGTAGAGTTAGAACACCCAAATAGAATTATTTATAATACCACTTATTTTTATCTGTAGCGATTTTTAATTCGCAGGATCTTTGTATGTAAAGTTAGTTGCATTGTTTTGAGTGTAAATACAAATGGATAATAAAATATTTTAGCTCAAACTGCATATCCGTTGTTTTACAAACTGCAAATGTTCTCGAAACCTTCAGAGTCGCAATCATGATTGCCTCCTGATTATAATTTCTTGCAACAGCACAAAATATTGTGACAATTTTAGAAAAAGTGAAGATATGTTACACCATTGGCACACGAAGCGACAGTTTTGTTCATCACTGTTGATGTTACTACATGGCCTTTGTGTGACAGCCCCCTCTATGAAAAAAAAAATGTTCCCTGGTCAGCTGATCCCAAAGTAATGGAAGTCTTGATCCATGCATAATCTCAGAATCTAGCAGATTACTGAACTAAGTTTTGGATCCTGACTTCTAAGGTAGTGATTCCATTTCCAAGTCTAAAACTATGATCCTTGATCAAAGAGGTGATTTTAGTCTATGATCCCTACTATTTATCTTTTACTGGTGGTTTCACACTCAAACGTAATTTCAAAAAATGAATATAGACACTATTATTGAGAGTTATTTAAAACAGTTAATTGCTGACCATGACAAAAATCTTAAAACATTAAACATGTATGCAACGTGAAAACCACACTTTATTTCAATTAAGGAAAAACCACATTAAATAATAGTATCACTCAGTGAGAACGATATATTACAAGCTCAGTGCTCTCACTTTTATCAATAATAATATAATCCATTTATCTTTAGTAAATAAAATTTGCTGTTAAATAGAGCAAAGTAGATTCAGTTGACATTATTCTTATTCTTACTATTATAATCTTAAAGACACTACAAAAGTCCACAATCTCGTACCCAGAGCCTGCGATTCTTTTTGGTCACCGCCGAAGTTCTCGTTGCTGACCGAAAGAGAACGCAGGCTCTGGGTACGAGATTGAAAAGTCCATAGATTTTTAGATTGTTCAAAAGATAAGACACCATATTTATTAGCCTAAAATTATCTGAAGCTAGTGCTAATGCTAAAAGTTTTAAAATATCTTGGAATCAATGCTGATAAAAATGTACTTCAGCCTTTCCATTAGTTAATTGTTTTAATTTTATGAGAGAAGATTCAAGAGGAATTAGGAGAGGAATCCATTTGGATAAGGGTGAGGATGATCTTTGCATGTTATAAATGAGTATAGCTCAGTTTCTTAAAGCTTTGAAGGCAAGACAATGTTCTTCTTTCCATTCTTGAATTGTACTCCTGATCTATTTTTCATAACCTTTTCCACAGCACTGCACACATATTCCAAATACCAGAGTGGTACATTTCTATGTACAGGAAGATACAAAACATGATCGATAAGATACTCTGCATTGTATGGATACAATATGTCTTTAGTGACTTTCTTGAGATTCATCACTGACGATTGGTTTCCAATGGCAGGTTTTGTTTCTCCTTCAATAAAAGCTGATGATGAGAATGACGTGTGGGAAACACCATTAGCTAACAAAGAACCACTAGTACTGTGTGTTGTTTGTACGGCGTAAGGTTGGCTGACACCAGCGGCTACTTCTGGACTTGTAATCAGCTGTCTTGAATGATGTAAATCATCAGATAGCTTGGTTATTTTCTCTGCCTGTTTACTTTGTGGATCACATTGTGTCTTGTACACTGTGCGTAGTTGTGTTGCACCTTGATAAGCTTCAATTCCTTCTTTTTCTAAAGCCTTTCTAACTTCATTGGGATCATCCTGAAAGGAAATAGTTTGTTATTAGTAATAGTTTCATTTTTAAAGGAAATACATTCATCAACAAGAGTTTGCCTTGACAAAGGATTAACATCTGAAACGTCAGTAACTTATTTCACCTTTTTTTTACGGTGTTAAATTTATCTTTTTACACAACTGTTTTGTGGGTAGATGACTATATCATGAAAACGAACCCATGAAAACATTTCAAAGATCACAAGACCAAGTAGTAAAATAGTTTCACTTTGTCTTGAGAAATTTGATCATAACAATCATTGTACTTACAACTATAATAGGGAACAACCAATAGTTGCTAATTCTTGTTTTCTTTCCAGGAATGAAAACATTTTCTGGCATATTGTCACCAACAAAATCTCCCTTCATTTTGGCAACTTCAAAACTTCTTTCATTGACATTGGAAAGTATATCAAACATGACTTTGAGCAATGCAGCTGATGGTTGAAAGTGTAACTGAGGGATGATTTGACCAGGATATCCACGAAGAAGAGAAATGAAAAACTCTTTGTAGTCAAATTGAAACATATGGAATATAGGAATGCATGTCCATGCTAGAAGAGAACTATTCATAAGACATGTAAGCATTGAATATTTCAATAACTTTGAAAAAAATAGCCATGATGTTTGTACAGGGTATGATTCAAGTTTGGTTCTCATCTTTCCCAGGAGATCACCATCATTAACTTTAACTACAGCTCCACCGAGACATGTAGAATATTTTATTAGTCCAAAACTATAGAAAACCAAGTCTGAATTCTCATTGTCTTTTGGTTTGAGTCCCTGGAAGCACTCTGCACAATCTTCTAAGACCAATAGTCCATTACTGTGTGCAATATCTACTATCTTATCCATTTCTATCCACTTCCCATATATGTGTGCAACCAAGATAGCCACAGTTTTATCTGTTATAGCCAATTCAAGCAATTCTTCCTTGGGTGCAAGAGTTTCAAGATCAATGTCCACGGGGACAACTTTCAGTCCATGTGACTCAACAATACTAACCATGTCAGGGATGTTTATTGCTGTGAAGATTATTTCAGATCCCTTTGGGAAGTCAACTGTACTCAAAAACAAATCCAGTCCACTGCGAACAGAGGTACAAACAAGGCATTTCATAGGGCCTCCAAATAAGTCCTGTACTTGGCTATGTAAATGTTTCCTGTCTAAGTTGGAAACGAGATTGTAGTAGGCAGAGAGGAGTCTCTTCCATGTTATATCTGAAAATGAAAAACAGGAACACATGTAGTTCAGCCAAAGTGAAATATTAAAAGAGACATATAGATCAATCAAAAGTAATAGATGAATAATATCATTCTGAAATGACAATGTGTTAAAGCTTTATCGTCAGATGACATCTGTTTCTGTATGGATCCATGTTTCACAATTTCTAGCTATCTTGATGATTACATGAGAAACTTGTCTTCATGGCTAATTAAAAGGGGATTGTAAATAACTTTTGATTTGTAAATGATATGAGGTTTCAGTCTATTCAATAATTCATCAATAATGTTCCTTGGGAAAAAATGTTTTTGCTTTACACAGTAACTTAATAATATGACTTCAAAGTTCTTTTCCCTCAGAAATTGGTTTGGCCATCATTCAAAACAAACTTTTTTTCTTGGTTGAATGAAGGACTTTGTATAAGATTATGTGGGATTTGATACTTGCCTATGTACAGACATCCATATTTTTGTGGCCACACAGCCATATTCCTCGGTTTGTTTACAAGACTTGTGCCTTATCAGTGTACAAATGACTTCAGCATTATGCTTAACGAGTAAGCTCTTCCTCTCCCAGCAAGAGACGTTGTTTAAATTTTAAGTGATCTGATTCAGGAAAAACCAGGATTTATCAACAATGCCGATCGAGAATCGAGACTATCCACAAATTAATATCCAGCAGGTATTGAGCTTCGTTCTTTCACACTCGCCAGACAGACTTCACACACCCATCTTTCCCGGTATGATGAAATAGAGAATCAAGTCGAATCCATGCTCATTCTATTCCTTCTTTCCTTACCAAGAAATGATGGGTTTTTAGCCTAAGCTTGGAGCTACAACGATAAATTATTAATTTTGGAAGTCGTCGAGCAGATCAGAAGTCTTGCATGTTGTGCCGGCCAGACCCATCAAACATGACTCTGAAGAGCGCAATGCTTTTTGGGTAATCGAGCTTGCTGTTTCCGAGTTAAAAAATATCTTTTTTTGTTCTTTTTCTTTTTCTCACAAAAATGTAAAAAATAACGATCTAAAGAAAAATTAATTTGAAATTCCGACAAATCTGATTCGTCAAAAATATTTACATGCAATTAAAAGAATATACATTATTTGTCTAAAAGTTGCTTGTTTTTAGTTAATTTTTACTATAAAATTTATTACCACAAGAAAACTCGACGTTAGTTTGCATAAAAATTTAAAGATTTAAATTTAAGATTTAAAGATTTTTCATTATGGAAAAAAATTGCTCTTTGTTTATTGCAAATTCATATAAGTTTTTCACACGAAATCACCATGCGTGGGTTCCCTGTGTGGTCTGKGGAGGTTTTRTTTGAAGAAGCCAAGTCACTGTCTGATCCAGTCAGTCACAGTCACATTACAGCTGTCATTTATTTGAAATACGCGCATTTCATTGGTTTGGAAATTTGCGCGGCAAAAAAGGTGAGAAAAACTGCGCGTACGTGCTCACGTGCGTCACAAGAAAGAGCATTTGGCGGGCAATGGTTGTTTAGGCAAGACGAGTGGAAGACTTCGCTTGCGTTTCTTTACATTTTATACTTTTGCTGTAAGTATTTTGCTACAAAAATTTAATGCCAATAACTAGTAAAGTCATTGGCTAGCATTATTTACTCTTTCAAGCATATTAAACGGTGAAATCGTCCTTAATCCGACCATACATTGTTGACATTGATTGCAACGTACGATTTGAATACCACTACTTTTAACTTCAATCAAAGAATGAACACCATAGCGAAGTTGAAAATCATATATGTACCGTATTTACAGAAGAACAAGTCAAGTAATTTAATGATTAGTGTATTTGAACTTGAATGTTTGACCTTCAAGCATCAATGATATTAAAGCAGTATGAAACTATGATAGACGTTGATATCTACTGACTGTTGCACAACTTTTGTTGTCAGTAATATCGCTGCATGTTATCAAACACAAGAAATTATATCATAAACTTTCGATAGGCTTCCGGTATAGTACCTTACGAACGCATATAGCGTAATATATTGTGTTTATCTGCGTCCGCCATTTTAYAGTTCGAGATGTCACTCGGGGCACTCGACTGTGAAATCCAACCTAGAGAGGTAGCGACGCATGGGAGATGTGTTGCTCAAAAGTATATCAACTAGCTGGATTTTTATTTTGACTTCAACATGTATGAATATTTCTACGTAATTTTTTAGGTTGCACCTTTGCGTTGCTAACATGTCAGATCACCGCGAACCAGTAGCAACTGTAAATGTTCCAAGCCCAACCTCTGCCAACGTCCCGTCTGTTCCGGTACAAGATAAAGAATCTTTTGATAAAGAAAATGTGACATTAATGTCAGTTAAACCAGTAGTTCTATGTGCAGAAAAATCAGTTATTGAAAACCAAAAGGTATAGTTTACTCATCAGAGTATTATAAAGTTTACTGTAAAGATCCTTCTATCAAGCCTTGCAAGTTATATTTGATTTATRTCAATAGTAAACTTTGAATTATCTATTGTCCAGGTTCTTTTTTGCCAGASCTATGATCTCTCCTTGCAGATTATTAATTGCTTGGAAAATTAGAT